TGCCGGTGTCCAGGGCGACCGGGTGCGGTATTGTGACGGTGTCACGGGGAGGAGCGCCCGTAGTCAAGCCCCGGGGATGTAGCCATATAGGTGAACCTCGTTAACAAATCTCGGTGTCGTGCTTTTGTGATTGCTTGGTACTCGGATGATCGACAGTGACCTCGGATTTATCCTAACAAGTGGTATCATGAGCTAGGTTATTCGAAGGTCGTTGTGTTCATCAAGAGATGGTCAAACCGTGTGTTGATTTCGTTTGCCTTGGAGGGCGTTCGTGGATATCGGCGTAATCGGACAGCGGCAGAAAAAAGCAATTGAGATCAAGCGGCGGAACGTGCAGCAGCAGCTAAGTTCTCGGAGTCGGATCGAGCACCCGCGCGCGGCAGGCAAAGCAGCAGGCGAGGCAACGGACGGGCGCCGGGCAGCGGCCAGATCGACTAGGAAGGCTTGTGGACGTGTCAGGCTGGCTGGTGCGGCTTGATGGAGCCGTGGCCTGAGGTCGAGGCCGTGAGGTGTTTTGATGATCCGAAGGCGTACGTGATGTACCAGAGCCGCAGGTGATTTGTTTGGAAAAAAGAGGACCGAGTCCTCGGGCATGTATGACGTGACACGACGAGACGTGAAGCAGATCAATTCAGCGGAAGACAAGATCCATCGTTCTATTCCATCGGGTAGCAGGAGGTTTTGGCAAAGCAATTACTAGCATTGGAAGTTGAGCCTGGGAGCTAATACACGTGAGTGCAAGAAAGATTTTTGGTAGGAATTTGCTACTGGTGCATCTTGTGTACTTGAGCACATGTTGGAAGCTCGGATATTTTTTCACAACGTCAGTTGTACGAAGAATCATGATGCCATCGGGCATCGGGTTTGAGGTGGAGAAGTTCATGGAACTGGAAACTTTAGGTTATGGCAGACAATGATGGAAGATTTGTTGGCACAACAGGGATGCTTGAGGGCGTTGCGAGAAGTCATGCCAGGTAAGATGGAATTATGTGTGATGGATGGAAATTCGCAGAAGATGATTTGGGAGCCTCAAGCGTGTCATACAGTCGAACGAGTTCGGCTGGGTCGGACTAGATTGTCTGATGGATCGACGCAAGTCGGTTGGTACAGAAGAAGGTGTTGGATCGGTGACGACGACAGAGGAGCGTGATGCTGATGGTGACCGGCTTCTGGGGCGTGGAAACACGTGGCGCGGGCCCAATGTCTTGTGTGGCTTCGACAAGACTATGGCGCGGGGTTGATTCAAGACGGTGCACATGTGAGCTTGAAGTCGACGGGGCGTGGGGTGGACTGATCATCTGCCATGGAGTCATGTTGAAGGTGGAGCTGGAGTCTGGAAGACTTCACTCGGTGCTGCTTGAGGGGCTTCGACGTAAGTGCACAGAGAGTCGAAGCCTATTCAGCGGGAAAAGCGAGGGACACATAATTCGGACTGGAGCCCAGTGGTCTGATGAAAGCGTGAAACTCGTCATCGGTCGGTGATGATCGGTGGTACTCCGCAGTGAGGGTTGAGTGGTGTGGGTCCGCGGCCCTTGAGACTCGACCGGGACAGCGGAGGCTCGACGCGGTAATAGCGGCGAGGCGTGCGGTACGCACGGGACATGGAGACGAGCCAGGGCTCTGGTGGTCATACATGTGATGAGACAACTGCGAATTTGACTCGGGATGACTACAAGCAATGGTGAAATTCCTTCTAGTTTCAGACAGGCGGTCAAGAAATGAGCGGTGATGTTGAGTTCAGGTAACTCTTAAGCGTGACACCCAATATGTGAATTGTTCATTTTCACACAGGTCTGTGATTAGTGTGTGATTGCGTTGGACGGATACTCTGGAAGTTGGGAGCACAAACTAGAGTAACAAGGAACTTAATTTTGCTCGAGTGTTGACTGTGGTCAAGAAAAGGAGGGACTACAAGTTACAGGTGGAGTTATATGGAGTCTTTGAAGTAGCAGCGGTACTCATGGGATAAGCTCAGGTCCAATGTACATGGAAGTTTGACGCATTGACGAATTCAAGGTGGTGGAGAATATTCGCCAAGGTGGAGTTTGTTAGAGTTGTGTCGAATATTGCGTACAAGGTAGATTACAGTTGGACTTGCAGTTGTATTGTATTTAGATATGATATGAAGTCGTGTCCTAGTAAGACACTTGTATCCTAGGCCTCTCATATATAGCGGGGATAGACACACGATGTAACCTATGCCAACATAATAGCATTGGAACGTAGGGGAAGCCGGCGGCATGTGCCGGTGTCCAGGGCGACCAGGTGCGGTATTGTGACGGTGTCACGGGGAGGAGCGCCCGTAGTCAGGCCCCGGGGATGTAGCCATATCGGTGAACCTTGTTAACAAATATCGGTGTCGTGCTTTTGTGATTGCTTGGTCCTTGGATGATCGACAGTGGCGTCGGATTTATTCTAACACATTATCAAATGGACAGCTGGACACCCACGCGCCTCGCTCCTCCCCCTCGCGTCGCCTCCCCCTAGGCGACGCCAGGGCCCCCCGAACCTTAGCGCCGCAGGCTTCCTCTCGCGCCTCCCTCTGCCGCCGCCGCCGGCGGCGGCGAGGGCCGCGGTGGCAGCGAGCCCGACGCCGAAGGCACCTGGGCGGGTGGATGCGGCGAGATCTCATCTGAGGCGGCAGGGGCGGCCCTTCTCGTGAGGTCTGAAGGTGGCGGCTGGGGCGGCGATCCCTTGCCGTGCGGCGGTGGCCAAAGCGCCATGAGCCGGTGGAGCGGCGGCCTTGAATGGACGGCGGTGGTGGCAGCGCCCCATTTGACGGGGTACCTAATTTTCGCGGAGATGGTGGTGGCGGGGACTGCGGATCCAACACCCCGATTGGATCCGCCGCGGGGTGGCCTTCCGCCGACCGACGGCGCAAGGAGGCACGATGAGGAGATGTCGGATCTCCGCCGGTTTACGGACGGCGGCGTTCGTCTTCGTGGAGAGACTCCGCTCGGTTCCAGCCAACCGCGAGATCGGGACGACGTGGCCTCCGATGAAAATGGTGCCTGACTGCGGTCATGGCGGACGATGGCGGCATCTCAGACGTCGTTTCCTTCTCGAGGCATCGTCTTTGCAGGTCATGTCAACCTGATCGGAAGGTTCCGAGGGGAAACCCTAGATCTGGGTCTACCGGATCGGACGATAGCGACATTTCGATGTCGTTCTCCCTCCTGGGGGCATCGTTTGGAGCAAGTGTGGGGACAAGAGGAGGAGCGGCGTGGTATCTGACACGTCGACAACGGCGGGTCTAAGCGGCATGGAGCAGCGGGGTCTCATCGGTGGGCGTGTGATGATGGACGAGTGCAGGATGGTGGCGTTGTCTGGCGTCGTGATGGCGTCGACGGCGACTAGACCGGGCAAGGTACATGCAACAGTACATCACTAAAGATGGATTTGTGGCAGGTGGCTGCGTCGGCCTCATACCCGGCAGGCGTCCTGGTTGAGGAGTGCGCTGGACTGGTGGGTGCCTCATACCCGGCATGCGTCTTGGTTGGGACCTCAGGTCTTAGATGTTAGGTTTGACTGCGAGGTCTGTTTGGTATTAGGCCTAGACTATCAACACCTCTTCATCAACTGGATAGGAGTAGCGACAGATGTTGCCTAGACGGTGGCTTTAGTCTTACTTTTGTATGACTTTGTAAGGTCTTGTGTGAATAATTAATAAAGTGACTGCATGCATCGTCCAGATGCAGAGGCCCGGGGTCCTCCTTCATTTCTAAAAAAAACTAAAAGTAGATGTTCACACGCCGCCCCTATTGCGAGCCTGAAAGCTTACACTCCAATCTGGTGGGCAGGTCAAGATGAAGAACAATTCGACCTTGAGAAGCAAGAAAATAGCAAAGATTCCAACATCACATACGTCCAGTAGTCCCCACAAAGCGACAACATAGGAAAGGTTCAAATATTACATACTGCAAAGCTGGTTCATATTAGAGCAAGAGACGATATTGCTTCCTAGTAGCGCATCTTCATTCTTCTTCCTGAATCTCAGCCAGTCTCGAGTGTCATGCGCACTTCACGAAGGGTTACATCTTTATGACCATCGACAGGACTGTCCTGGAGAATCTTGAAGACTTCCAAAGCCGTAGCATCGACGTCCTTTTGACATGAATCTTGGGGAATGTCCTGGCAGCCTTCAGATGCTCAGGATCAATATTGGCGAATTCCTTGACAAATTTTCGCTCGTAAATAACCTGCAACAGAAATCGTAAGTAAGACTAGCATGGAACAATTAAAAATACCCTGCTTGCATTGCTGGTTTACCCACAATCTCAATTTGAAGGTTAAAATTATAATCGAGCTGGCAAAATTTGTTCATGCCTTCTCACACAAAGATACCTCCTTGCAAAATTTGTTCATGCCTTCTCACACAAAGATACCTCCTTGCAAAATTTGTTCATCTGGCTAGAGAAGGCAGCAAAGTTTGCCTGCCTTCTCACACAAAGACACCTCCTTGCAAAATTTGTTCATCTGGCTAGACAAGGCACGAGAGTTTGCCTTCTCAAACAAAGATGCCTCCTTGCAAAATTTGTTCATCTGGCTAGAGAAGGCACCAGAATTTGCCTTCTCACACACAGATGCACGAAGGAGATTTCCATGGCAAAAAAGGAAAAAGGAAAACTGACAAATATGATCATCAATGGCTTGCACCACCAATCAAATCTTCTTTCTTTCCAAATGATCCATTCCATTACCATATAGTATTTTATAATTTAAGGAAACTGAGTACAAGCATCCAGCAAATCTTACGAATACCAAGTACATGCCGCCCCTATTGCTAGCCCCAAAGCTTACACTCGAATCTGGTGGGCATGTCAAGATCAAAGGACGATTCAACCTTGCGAAGCAAGAAAATAGCAAAACATCACATCCGTCCAGCAGTTTTGAAGATCGAGACACAGAGCGACAACATAGGAAAGATTCAAATACTACAATACTGCAAAGCTAGTTCATATTAGAGCAAGAGACGATATTGCTTCCTAGTAGCGCCATCTTCATTCTTCTTCTTCCTGAATCTCAGCCAAGGTCCTCAGAGTCATGCGCACTTCACGAAGGGTTACATCTTTATGACCATCGACTGGACTGTCCCGGAGAATCTTGAAGACATTCAGAGCCGTAGCATCGGCATCCTTGACACGAAGTTTGGGGAATTTCCTGGCAGCCTTGAGATGCCCAGGATCAATGTCGGGGAATTCCTTGGCAGCCTTGAGCTCGTAAATGCCCTGCAACAGAAACCGTAACATAAGTAAGACTAGCAAAGGTTGACAAGCTAGCAATTGAAAATACCAATTGAGCTGGCATTATCCAAATTTTGAAGATGAAAGTGTCTCAATTGAGCTGGCTTTACTCATACTTTTATCTCCTGTTTGTAGCCACTCTAGACAATTTGCAAGGCCCTAACAACCACATGCCAATTATACTGTATGGAGTACTTGGTAGGAATCACACCACAAAACACCAGGCACTACGTACAAGCATGTGTCTTGCTTGCTCGGGAAACCTTAGACTGACAGGAGGGAGGGGAAATTCGTCTCCTTTTCCCTCACCGTCAATTTCGTATAACCACCAAGGTCTACTATACTAGGATATACTTATCATGACAAAGCTTATCAAAGTTGAGAGCAAGCGGTCATATGCTGAAAGAAATAAAACTTTTTTTCACGTTATTAGGTACATAAATCCTCGGAATCAATGTTTCCAACAATAGATGGCCGGATCTGAAGAGTAGATCAATGTCTAAACGCCAGTAATCGAGGGCTTTTGGCCCCAATTCGTAAAAAAACTTAAGATTTGCGCAAGGTTTCTGGCCCCAACTCGAACAACAAAACGGCAAACCCTAGATCTGATCTGGCTCCCACGCCGCTAGAGAGGGAGAGGGAGAGGGAGAGGGAGAGGAAGAGGGGTCGGAGGTAGGAGAGGACAAGTACCGCTGATCTCCCGAGCGCACGGTCGCAAAACCTCCTCAACGCTAGCCGGAGCGCCGCCATCGTCCTCGCCCTCGCTCTCGCCGACTCGATCCGCTTCCTCTTCCTCTTCCTTGCTGGTTGGGGAGAAAAAATGTCCGTCCACCGACCGGCTGGGGCGTGGGCTCCCGTGTATATAGCCTAAGGCCCGGCCCGGCCCGGCCTTCTCTCTTTGCCTGCTGCCTTGCTCCACAACCGGCCGGCCCGCTCTTTGCTTGCTTCTGCCACGGTGAAATTCTTTTTTTACTTTTCCCTTCATGAGATATTTTTTTTGAAACACCATACAATCACACGTATATACTCACTTTATGAACACACATACACTCACTTTATGAACGCATGCACGCACGCACGCACGCAGACTATATCTCTATGGGCACCCCCGTTATTGTTGTCGTTCTTGGATGCGAATATCTAGAGAATGTTCCCCAGGAGAGGAGGCGCCAACGAACAGATAGTTCTCCTAGAGCGAACGATGGAGACAACCCTTCTCTTTATAGTACTTACTTTGTTGTTGTCATAACTATCTCAGTTGGCCTAAGAAAAGCCCAATTTGCTATGAACTAATACCAAGTCTAAAAAGTGATGTTTTGACTTGACTTTCAGTGGCTGAACAAAAATGCCATGACATATATAACAAAAATATCATCATATATAAAATGATTAGATAAAAAATGCCTTAATTTGTGAAAATAGAAGAAAAAAATCATTTATTCACCGCTATGCCTATGTCACAAAGAAAGAAAGTGAGTAAAACTACCACATTTTTTAAACAAATGTAACTATCTACCACTCATATTTCTGAAAAGAAGTTGCCATTCTCACGATTACAGTAATTGTGGAAAACAAAATTGTCATGCCAACGGTACAATGAAATCCCTAAATTAGTTCTATATTTTGAAATTATTGAATTGAATAAAACCATTTAAAATCACCATGTCACCATCAATATGTGCAGGACAAAAAAGAAAAAAAATGACATGTCTTAGGATATATCACGATGAAGAAGGAAAAAAAGGTAAAGTTGCCATCTGACTAATACCAAAACAATATATCATCATCATGATGAAAAAAAAGGTAAAGGTGAGCATTCGGTTCGCTAACACCAACCAATCAGTCTAATTCCCTGAAAAAAGACCAAAAATTCCCCCTCCGCATAGCCGCCGTGCATACTACGCAGGGGTCCCAACCGGAAAGATCACAAAAGTGTTGAATCAGGCTAGCCATGGTCTGAGCTTCCTGACAAGTAGCCTGTCCACAAACCAAAAGATCATCTACAAAAAGGAGGGAATGCACAGAAGCGCAATTTGGTCCAAGAGAAATTCCCCGAAGATGATTGGCCTGCAAAGCATCATTGAGCATGATTGAAAGTTCATTAATAGCAAGGACGAATAAGTAAGGAGACATAGGACAGCCTTGTCGGATACCTCGGAAACTTTTAAAATTTTGAGAAGGTTGCCCATTAATGAGCACAGAGAACGTGGGCGAAGAAATGCATGCATACACCAAATTAACAAAATGACCATGCAACCCTTTACGTAATAAAGCAGAAACAATGAAGTTCCACCATAGACGATCAAAAGCTTTAGCAAGGTAAATCTTAAGCATGAAAGCATCATGTTTCCAGGATTTAAGAGAAAAGGAATGAGCAATTTCTTGAGCAATAATGATATTGTCACTGATACGTTTGCCCTCAATAAAAGCCTGTTGAGCTGGATCAATATAGTCTGGGAGGTGAGGCTTGAGCCTATTAGCCAGGGATTTAGCAATGATTTTATAAAGCACATTACAAAGACTAATAGGCCTATAGTCCATGGGCACAAGAGGAACCAATTTCTTAGGGATGAGGGCAATATTGGTGTCATTAATATGAGGAGAACGAGTAGCAGTAGAATAAAAGTTAGTCACGAGCTGAGTTACCTCATCCCCAATCCAATCCCAAGTAGCTAAATAGAATTCCACATTGAACCCATTCGGCCCTGGAGAAGCATTGAGTTTCATGTCTTTAAGAATCTGTAAAATCTCAGCTTTATTAGGAACAGAGTAAGTAGGGTCATCATTATCATTGCTCCATTGAGCAAGAGGAAAAGGTCTACCCACATTATCATTAGGAGAAGAAAAAATGTATCTAAAATAGTTAACAAAAGTTTGCATGATGGCAGCAGGTTTGAAATGGATCATGTCATGCTCATCTTTGATAGAACAAATAGTATTCCTTTTTCTGCGCTTAAGAACAGCTTGGTGAAAAAATTTAGTATTACAATCACTTTTAGCCGCCCAAGTCTTCTTACTTCGCTGCCTATAGAATTGATTAAGCTTAGAGAGAGTATGATCATACCTAGCAATGAGAGAACTTTCCAAATCATGATTTTGCTGCTGAAGAGGAAGCTGCTGCAGCTCATTAATCTTTGACTCCAAGTCCGCAAGGTTCTGCTGAAGGGTTTTTTTATTTTTACACCAAGTTTTTAAAGACCCTGCCAAAGAGGAAGACTTTGCAACAAAAGAAGTGAGAGTACAAGCATTCCAAGTATTTTTAGCAAAAGAGTGAAAGTCTTTCTCCATGAACCACCAATTTTCAAATTTGAAAGTTTGCTTAGGTTTCACAAATTGACTCTCTGTAGAAATTAAAATAGGAGCATGATCACTGAGAATGATGGGAAGGTTCAACACTTTGGTATTGGGATAATAAGAGCACCATTCAGAGTTAACCAAACAACGATCAAGGCGTCTATGAATAGGTTTGGAAGTATTCTGTCTACCACACCAAGTATAAGCAGGGCCACTGTAACCAATGTCAAACAAGCCACAATTTTTAACAAGCGACCGGAAAGCATGCATACGATAGTAGTTGATATTACCATTACAACCATCCACATCATACAGGATATCATTCAAGTCACCCATAGAAACCATGGGTTTACCTAAATTATCATATACAAAAGTAGTAACTTGGTCCCAGATGGCATTAGTCTGCCTATGATACGGGTCACCATATATACAAATCAGGCAAAAGTTGACCCCAGAAGCTACATGGACTACATTAGCTAAAGTATAGTGAAAAGCAGCTGTATGAATAGAAACTTTGAGTTCATCGGTCCACATAAGCCAAAGACCACCCGAGGCACCTCTAGAAGGAACAACAAATGCATTGGACACATCAAACCTATTGACAAGATCAACTGAACGGACTTTGGAAGATTTAATTTCTGAAACAAAAGTTACCTGAACATTAGTGGGCCGCATCAAATTTGCAAGGTATAGCATGTGCTCACTGCCGAGGCCCCTGCCCATACCTCGACAGTTCCAAGCTATGGCCTTCATGGCGCACGAGGCGCGATAGGGTCAGCCTAACTCCAGCCACCGCCCACCTCAACTACTCCAGATTGAGATGGACCAACCCAAACCAGCAGAGAGGCCTCTCCGCTTACCAAACTAGCACCGAAACCCGACCCTCCAAGTCCGGCAAAGGGAAACAAGGGAGTCTTGACAGGCGAGGAGGGAAGCCATGGGAGGTGGGGCGAACACGGCAGGGAGGACGGAGAGGACAGAGGGAGGACAGGGCAAGGAGAGAGCAGGGCTAGGGGAGGGGGGAACCAGCACTAGATCCGACTGGGTAGATCGCCGCCGGCAAAGAAGCAAGAAAAGGGATCTGGGAACAGAGGGAGCGAGAGCAGCAGTGGGAGATGGAGGCGAGGAACAGAGCGGAGGAACAGGGAGAAGAGCGCAAGAGGAAGCACGGGGATAAGGGAGGAAATCAAAGAGAAAAGGGGATCGACATGTCGCCAGTCGCCGGCAATCGCCGGAAGTCCAGAAACCTCCGCTGCTGTAGCACCGCCGAACGCGGACTTGCGGAGTCAGGCTCCTTTCCTCCTTTCTCGTATCATATCAGTTCCCAAGCCACTGAACTGAGGCATATCTAGCTTGGTCACGCGATCTGCTACTACTAGGCCATCGTGATAGTCTCGCGGCTTTACAACAACGGTTCGTCAAGGAAGCAAACCTTCAATGCCAGACAGCTCACCAGCCTGCACGTCACGAGGATGTTAGACGAGCCGACCACAATGACCGTTCCTCTCTACCTTCACAGGAAGCTGCTTGATGAGAGAAATGTCATCGTGCAGCCAGACCTCCGAGCCGTATGCGGACAATTCATTCAGAGGAGACCATGATACTTTCGGTGACCAGCGCAGGTAAGATATCAAGCATCGATGAACTGTATTTTGCGAATTCAATCTTGAACCGAGCCGTTCACATGTTCATGGTCCAAATTATTCTAAGAAGCAGTTAATTTCACCCGAGCTAATAGAAATGCTTATATAATTTTGCTCCTCCTATCTATGCACGGCAACAACACTAACTAATAATGTCACATACTTTGAACACCTTGTAGTTTGGACACCATTATGGGCCCTCGCTCCCATTGACACTTAAGCTTGAAATGCTACTTGATGCTAGGATGATGCACGCAATGTAGTAGACAGACCTTAGCATTATTGTAGTCAGGCTCAGGCATCCCCTCCACCTCCCAGAAGCAACGAGCGAAGGAGAAACATAAGATGAGGTGGTTCGTGAAGGAAATATGCCCTAGAGGCAATAATAAAGTTATTATTTATTTCCTCATATCATGATAAATGTTTATTATTCATGCTAGAATTGTATTACCCGGAAACATGATACATGTGTGAATACATAGACAAACATAATGTCACTAGTATGCCTCTACTTGACTAGCTCATTAATCAAAGATGGTTATGTTTCCTAACCATAGACATGTGTTGTCATTTGATTAACGGGATCACATCATTAGGAGAATGATGTGATTGACTTGACCCATTCCGTTAGCCTAGCACTTGATCGTTTAGTATGTTGCTAGTGCTTTCTTCATAACTTATACAAAATTCCTACAACTATGAGATTATGCAACTCCCATTTACCGGAGGAACACTTTGTGTGCTACCAAACGTCACAACGTAACTGGGTGATTATAAATGTGCTCTATAGGTGTCTCCGAAGGCACATGTTGG